TGTCCTCACTGCTTCTATGGCTCAGGTCACGCCTACACCACCCTTGCGGCCTCGCACACTCGTGGCTTCGGACGTGAACACACCTGAGTGGGTCAAGACTGGTTCCTCAGTGACCGAAAGGTTCGAAATTCACAATAATTATATATATATATATATCCACACCGGCTAGACCAGCAGCCTCCAGCAGGTTGGACCAGCAGGTCGGGCGGGGCGTGGTTAGACACCCGCAAATGTGAGTCCCACACTACAAATGTGGTTAGACACTCGTCCCTAGTCAGGTGCTGGTAGTTCATACAGGATATGTTCTTGGAACCACCCTATATACCTTTGCTCATAGTTGATTCACCACTCAGTCTTTGATCAAAACTGCCTTGAAACCAGCTGAACTTGGACCTCGTCCTTCTCTCCCCCCTCACCTGCACACTGGTCCGGCCCATGACACTTCACTTCTGCCTGCTCAGCCTCACTCTTCTTCCCCCCTGGCCACCGGCGAAGGGTCCTCAACTTCGTCGGCATCGCCGTTTACGTTTTGCTTGGGAAACTCGAGCAAATGATGGGATAGGCCGAAACAGCCCCGGAGCCATGAGATAAACAAATAAACGGGATGTTCACTATTTTGCAGCTGGTCCCAGGACTAGTCCCCACTCCAATAAGACAAAATATGACTAAGCACCTTACTATTTACATCTATTTGCTACCCTCAGGACAGTCAGGGCTCCCTGTTCCTGGAGGGCCAATGGCCCCCTAGAAACCAACACGGGTTCCGCTTCCATGTCCCTAATTGAACTGTAGCTTAATTACCCTCCCTCAAACAATCATGGAAGTGGAAAACCGATGACCCCCCCGTTGGTAGAGGAAAACCGTCTGACAAGGGGTCATGTTCCACTTCCATATTTGTTGGAGGGATGATTAAAATGGATTATATAAGTAGGTGGACCCACCCTTCAGCGCCGGCTCCAAGCGCCGCGTGTTCTTCAACTCCAAAGCTCCGGAAAGAGGTGCTGGACATATTCCTTCCAGGCTCGCTCGCTGGCCTCCGGTGCGGAACGGTCCATGCTGCGGAACGGTGTGTGGTAGCACAAAGACGGTCTGGCCAAAGGTTTGCTGGATGATTTGGGTAAACGTGAATGAAGACGAACGAAGTGAAGAATACGCCAGAACCAAGTATGAGTGAGGCGTCGTCAGCACTGGAGGTTTTATTCCACTAGGTCAGGAAGACTCAGGAAGACCCTTCTCAAGTCTATCTTACCATTCATCAATGCACACGGGCTTTCTTCGCTCAGCTTCTCAGTCATCCCTACCCCACGAATACGAACGAGTGTGTCATGATCCATGTCTGGTCTCTAAACGCTTAGTGGAAAAGAGCAAGTCTACTGGAACGCTTGCTGCCATCTTCGACCAGTCTCTGGGGTGTCTCCAAGCTCTTCTGCACGGTCTCCAGCAGCACCAGTGGCCACACATCACCTGCGGCCGGGGATTCTGGCCTGGCCACTGTTCGGGAGCCCAATCGCGCTCACCGAGTCCTGAGAAAGAAGAGCTGAAGATGGGCTGCAGGAGAGACAGGCAAAGCCCCCCCGGCTACTCCTGTGGCCCAAACCTGTGAGACGACTGCCTTGTGGCAGGGAGCAAGACCGCACACCGTGCACCGCTGTGTCACACATGAATCACACACATGATTCTTGATCGTCATTGGCAGGCAAGAGGCGCCTACTTTTGTTGGAGGGTTTTCGGATGATGTAGCTTGATAAATCACTTTGATTAATGTGTTTGTTAGCTCCTCTGCGATGGTGACCGGACCTCACTGAGGCGGAGCACAGAACACGAGCTGGCCCCTGTTGACCTAGATTGGGCCGCATCACTTTGGACACCAGGAGCATTTATATATAGTTTAAAAAAGCTTCACAGAAGTCCCAAATGGCAAAGCACACGAATGTATACGAATGTTGGAAAGCCTGACTAGATAAAGCCTGATGTCACATGAAAAGCACACAAATGGTTTCCCACTTCATGTCTCTTCATGTTTCCCACTTCTGTAACTATATAACTAGTTGTGAGTGGATGTGAAAGGGCTTAGCATCTTAGTGGTGGTGACCCGGTGACTCTGACTAACTAGTATGGCGGACTGGAAATTTGTGTATTCTGGATCTGGGTGTCAACCTGAGATGCACATCACCTTCTCATTCAAAATATTCAAAACATGGCAAACCAACATCCCATACTTTCCTTTCTTTTCTTACTTTCCCCCTCTGAACAGTCAACATCTCCACCTGTTGTGGACTCCCCACCCGACTCTCCACCCGATGTCCTTGCCCGCGGTGACGCAAATGGGCTTGGAATGATCCAACTGTTCTAGACTGCCTGGCAAACCGCTTGGACCAAGTCATCAAAGGATGACTTGGAAGTTGCATCAATGAAAACGCATCTGAACAGGACCTCATTTATATAGTTGGTTAGCCTTTTGAGCACTTGACTTGTCAGAGTCCAGTGATTTTGCGAATTCACGTTGAGGAATCTCAACTTACTGCCAAAACCAACTTTCAACAGGACATTCGAATTTGAGCATCCTTATGCCCTAGGCTCCAAGTACCTTTCGAGAAGGTGTTGGGCTGGGTTTGGAAGTTCCGTGGAGGTACTTGGAACGGGGATAGGATTGGTTTTGTATGGTTTCTTGTCCCCATCCATGTCCACCTCGGTTGTGCAAAAGCAGCTCCACCGCAGGAAACCCAGAAGAGATCGTGGAGCCTAATTACTGACTGCAAGGTTTAAAAGAGAGATGAGACTATCAACCAAACAGTTGATGACACAAACTTCAATTTCTTCAAGCTGTCGCCCTCTTCAGTGTACTTTCCCCCAAGGTTGGCAAAAGGTCCTTGATGCCCTTTGACAGCTGCGGTATAGACGTACTGTAGTAACTTCAAGGGGCTCTGCTCCAAGGTCTCTTCCGGCATCGTTGTTGGCACGGGGCGAAGACGCTCGGGCTTGTCTTGTTTCTCAGGCCCCGGGCCTTTGGGTGGCACACAGAAAAGGAGCTGACGAAGAAGGCCCCGCATGGCGTTCATGGAGGTCTTCTCCTGCGACTTCTGCGAAAGCGGATGAAGCTCTGCGACGATATCACTCCTGCACACGATGTCACTACTGAACACTCACTAGCTACAGCTTCCTAACACCTGAGGTGTGGCAACAGTTGCATCGAAAATCCTGCCTTCAAAGATGTCAGGACCAAGTGTGCGCCATGAACCAGGGCGAAATGCCGCAGCCTCAGCGCGCATTGCATTAATCAAGTTGGACCCTGACGGGAGATGCTGCATTGCCTAAGAATGGTCCATTCCAAAAATGACCACTGGAGTCAATTGAGCAACCACAGCAACATGGTCTGAGTCTAATTTGCATCTATGAACTTCTTGACGTGCTTCCCAAACAAATTCCGGGGCAAGGGACACTGTGACAACCTAGTCGGAAATGATTAAGTGTTGCATTTTGCAGCACTTGGTTCCAAATGTTGTTTTTTCAATGTCATTAATGAAACAAGGTTTGTCCCAGTGCCCCGGCTGATGGTATGCACTCCCCCTACCAGTCCAAACATGTCTCTCTCTCTCTCTCTGAATGGCCAAAGTGTCTGCACAGGCTGCTTCAATTGAGGCACCCACCATCTGTACCAAGCCGTCGGTTCAGCTGACCGACGTCTATTTGAGTAGAAGTCCAACTGCAAACTACATGACCATGACTTAGACTATTACAGCGAAGCTGAACAATATGAAACACCAAAAGGGGTCAGTGCCACTGCTCCACCAGGGCCATCAGCTTCATCCTGGGTCGTGGATGGGGAATTCCTCAGAAATTCAGCCCGAATCGAAGGGCATTGGTCCAAATGAGGCTCAACCTCTGGCACTTGCAGCTTTCGGTGGAATGATTTGCTCCAGTTTTCATGGGCCAAAAATGTGTAACCTTAAATGCATCAAGAATCTGCAAACTTGCAATGTCGACTGTCACAACCCCCCCCGATTGGACACCATAACAATCCACAACACCTCCAATCACATGGGGCATTGAACATGACTGAACACTAATCACGAGTCTACATTGCACAAACCACTCTGTTCCAACGTCAGGCCTTTTCGGCCCCTGCTAGCGGCCCCAGGCCCCTCTCGGCTCCTTTGGATTTCCCGACCTGCTCGGCCCAAGCGGCGCGCGGCACAGGTTCTTCCGCTTCTCAGGGTCCACGTCGCTGGCGAGGACGTCCCACTTGGCACCTGGGAAGGAGCACAGCTGGCTGTCGGACAGCGGTGACGGTGTAGATCACTCGGTCACTCGGTCACTCCTATCGAAACGTGCTTGGAGATCCAAAAGGTTAAAATGGTGGAATAGAGTGGAGTCTGAGTGGGCCTCTTTGCATTTCTTTGGTGCCCTGGTCTGTCCATTCACCTGCGCACCGACCTCGCCACTGCAAGATCTGCGATGGGGCACTCTCCCCACTGCCCCGGTTCCCCGATGCGATCACCCCTGCCCGAGCGTTCTGCCCCTTTTTCTCCGCCATCTTCAAAGGCACAACAGCCTCACAGGCCTTGCAAGGCATCCCCGGTCGCCTCATTGTCAAACCGTTCAGGTCCATCTCTTATGCTGGGACCTTGTGGAGGGCGGAGGGCATCTGGGGTAGTTCTTTCCAGGTGTTCCTTTTTTGCATGTGTTTCCCTTTTTGCAGCCTCCTCACTGGCGGTAGGCACGGATGTCTTCACTCCTTGGAGAGCTGGGTGATGATGGTAGGCATGGGGACGGGTGTAGTGTAGTTGGAAGGAGTCTGCTATTCTGCTTGTGCTCACTGCAGAAGTGAATAGCATGCAAAGGATATGACATTACGATGCATTACGATGCATGACGCAGCGCATACAGTATCATACAGCATCCACATTGATCAAAACAAAGGCCACACTCCTTACATTGAGTATCAATGTGGATTACAAAGGCCACTCCTCACTCCTCACTGCTTAATTTATATATATATATGTATATATATATATTGATCCCGACCTGCGTCTTCAGACCGCGCCCAGTGCTGAGACCGCTCATTTTTAGAGACGAGTCGGCGACGAGCGCTCACTGTCCCAGCCAAAACTGCAGAGTCTACAATCGCTGCACTCAAATCCGGCTGTTGCATTGATAATCATGAAGCACTCTGTAGATGTTGCCAGGTAGCGGAAGTCCATGAAGACAATAGACAGGCTGCCAGGCTGGTGGAAACGACTCAGCTCAACGCCAAAACCACTCAGCTCATAGCTTTAACTGGCTTCATTGCTCACCACCCTTGTTCTTCACTTCGCTCCCGAGAGCTGGGAGGATCTTCATCACATCAGGTGTCACATCCTGCAGCTGCAAGGAGGCCCACAGGCAATCGGATAATTGTTGAAGACTCATTTCATCCACATTGCCTTGGATCTGCTCCACGAGGGCGACGACAGCATCAGGCTCTGCGGCGCCCTTAAAGTGTGCCAAGCCCCACAAACAGCTGGACAACTGCAGGGGAGTCATGTTGCTCGCAGTGGGCCGGATGTGTTTGGCAAGTGATTTGACAAATTCAAAACCATTATAAGTTCCAAAACCATGATCATGTTGAAATTTGATATGCAAGCGAGCTGATGCCCACAAGCTGTTGGAGACGTCATCGGCTGAAACAGCGAAGATTGACAGCTGGCTTTGCTCCAAACATCTCTCACCTTGGCTCGACAAGCTTCTCACGAGCTGTACACGCCTGGCATCCAGCGAGTCGCACCACTGGGCCAAAGACCACAAGCCCCTTGACACATGTTGAATCTCATTTGACTTATTGCAAGTCGTGGCTCAAGCTTGGCAAGAAGTTCATCGCGCCAATCAGCCCAAGAATCCCCAAAACCCTGCAAGTGAGCCAATGCCCACAAAAGGTCGATCTTGTGAGCATCAAAAAGATCAGAATCGACAAGATCAGAATCGTCAATAAAACAATCATTGCCCAAACAAAAAATATTGCCCAAGCCTCCTGCAAGCTCCCCCAATGCCCACAAACTGTTGGACAAATTCTGGGGGTTCATCTGAGAAGTGTTGTTCCGCATTACCTCGACCAGGTCTGGCACAATCTCGGTGACAGCCGGCACTTTTCGCTTCAAGTGCGCTGATGCCCACAAAAAGTTGGACAAGTGCTCCAACCTCGTCTCCTCAGCGTCTCCTGCATTCCCAACGGCCTGTAGTGCTCCACGTGGTGCTCCACGTGGTGCCCTGCTCGCCGCGGGGCCCACGAAGCTGGGACACACCGCTGCGCGGTAGAAGGCCCACAGGGCTACACATCCCACCATGAGTCGTCCGCGCGCGGACTCGGCGCGGATTGCAGCTCCTCTGCACGACATGGCGGCCTGATGGCGACCTGGGAGGGGGCGGTGGAGTCGTGGTAGGGCGGGTTTCGGTCAGTCGTGGCAACTTGGGCCTGGAACAACGAAAGCTGGGGAATCCAGCACCAAAGACATCCAAAGACCCACAATTTTCCGAGTCAGGAGAGAGTCTGCATCACATTGAACAACCTGGTTTGTTCCTTCTTCCAAGTCTCAGCTGCTGAGTGCCATCCGCCCCCTGTAGGCCCTTCTGCTCCAAATAGCTGGGACGGTGTAGTTCAACCCTCTCTTGGCAAAAGTCCCCGGCAAGCACGGGCGGCAACCTCGGCTGGGTGGCCAAAAGGGCAGTTGGGGGATCAGAATCGCAAGTTTGCGATGCCGATGACCTGGGTTATAGTGGAAAGGGAACCTTCTGAGAAATGCTGATGATGGGCGGTGATGGGTCCCTCTGGTTGGCATCTGTTTTTTGGTCCAATTTCTGGGTGCCTGCAGTGCTCCGGCCAGTTGTCTCATGTTTGGTGTCATAGATGGGGTAGAGTCCGGGTAGAAGTGATTAAATAAAGATATGATCGAGGAGATCTTTCAAGAAGAAGAAGAAGAAGCAGCAGCAGCAGCAGCAGTGGTAGTGGTAGTAGAGGTGGTGGTAGTAGTGGTCGTCGTCGTCGTAGTAGTGGTAGTAGACTAGAGTATTCAGTGCAAATGTGTTGGATTGGCAAACTCCGTTTGGCAAGAAGTGTGTCGTCTCGGCCTGAGTACTAACTATCAACTATCTGCATGCTTTAAGTTGAAGCAACATGACAGCCAAGTCATTTGCTTAAAAAACAAATCGAACATGTGCGTATATATTAAATATACTGATAGGACGATGCCATGTCGCATGTCTTCATCCTGGCTTGAAGACTTGCGCCCAAGCTTTGTATATTTATTTGATATTACTTCCTACTCCATACGCATGGTGATGGACCATTTAGAATCTAGTATAGGACCATTCAAACAAGCATCAGCCCTCCCGGTTCGTGAGGCCACACCTCACTTTGCCCATTACGATCTGTTGAACTCCAAGAAGCCGATCTTCTGTCTTCCCGGCCGAGGGCCCAAGGGCTTCGAGCAGCACATCCTTGGTCTTTGAGTGACGAGGAATGGGCTGTTTCTGGGGCACCAGGTTCAAGTCCCAGCCGCGGGATTTGATGAGAAGTCCCCTTAGATTGAACAAACATGAACAAACAAGAAAAAGCACTCCGTTCACATCAGTTTAGCATGAACACTGCGAACAAAAGAAGTATCGTCATATTATACATATACTCTCTCTACCCATCGCCCTCTCCATGAGATTAGCCAGAGGCCAAGGCGAGCTACAGGCCGATATATTCCCTCAGAGTGGCAGTATCGTCCTGTTCTTTCGTTGTGCTCCAGGTGGACGTTCACTTCCCAACCATCAGCTTTGTGACCCAGGAACTTACACAATCAAGTTGCAAATCTGTGACCCATCCTGTTGCATTTCACACGTTTCCTGACCCGTATGTTTCCTCTCAAACCGTTTTTTCAACACCGACCCTAAGGGTCCAGGACCATCCTGAGGATGTCCTTTGACCTCCCAAGACCATTCTCAGGAAGTACTTTCACCTCCAAGACCATCCTCAGGAGCTCCCTGGACCCTATGGGCGAGGAGCATCGTGTGGGCGCAGGGCGCCTGCCACAATGGAAAGGCGTTGCCCGGGCACGAGCCTGAGGCTGTCAGGCCACAGCGGAACAAACAGAACTGTACCATGAACGAGTTGAATTCACCGATGGATGTTTTCTACTGAGCTCAAAAATTGTGGTGTCAGTACTTGACGAGGATGGCGTTTGACCCATGAAAACTTAATTAAACAAAAACTGTGAGAAGGTAGTTGCTGCTTCAAAGAAAAAGATTCACCTAGGAGCCATGGTGGGTCCTGAACCTGGACGTGTGGAAAGAAATGTGTCCCACGTGTCAGGCCAAGGTTGCCGTGGAAAAAATAAACACACGTACCGTGGGTAATTGGCCATGGACGTCCCAAAGGACCTCATAGGATCTCAAGTTTCATCTGTTCTTCCAAATCACTTCCAAATCACTTTCACACTTTGCAGGCGCAGTTGACATCTCTTGTTGGCTGTGGCTCCAGGCAGCACCCGATGCACCGAAGCTTTCCAATATCCATTGGTCCAGCGGGAAAGCAGGGCGCCCACGTTCAGCACGAAGGAGTCTTGGGGCGGCAAGTGTGGCTGTTGGGCAGATTGATCAAAACCAAGTATGTCCCGAAAATACTGTAGATCAAACGGAGGTCAATACGCTTTTGGCCGGGGACTCACTTCTCGATCTACTTGGGAGTCACTATGCCCTCATGCTCCCATTCACCCATGAATAGGTGATGCGAACATATTCTCGTGCAAACTGACATGCACAAAGAAAGGCATATTGATTACTATTGTTTTTTTTTTTTTTTTATAAGGCACTTCAACAGCCACCGCCCAGTACCACGGTTGAGGACTGGAAATGAAAAGGTTCACTCTGCAAGGGCAAGTTTGTCAGGTGGGGTGACCCACGCAGCTGGACCTGGAACCCAAAAGCTGGCCAATTAAACAAAATCCGTCAACATCCAAAGTGCATGTCAATGAATCACGGACCCCAATGACTTCTACCCATGTAGGTGCAGGAATACAACAGCTCAGAAGCATTCTCGTGGACGCTGTGCTAAGCCCGCAGCCTTCAACAAAAGGAACCTTGGCCGTTCGTTCCAAAGGAAGCTGAAAAGGACCACGGTGGTGTTGATTGGCGGGGCCATCCCATGGATTTTTTTGTACGTTTTTTTCCAACCCGCTGCTCGAGCATATCTAGCTTTGCACTTTTGGTGGTATCCTGCGCGGTTTCGATAAAGTAACAGGATATAAACCATGAGAAAAAGAACAGGGCCCCTGAGCCGTCACCTCCCTGCAGAACACATAAATCATAATTAGACAGCTTTAAAACAAAACATGGAACTCGCGAGAAACCTCACAACCACCACCTACACACCTCTGTTCTGCCATTGGCTCGGTGCCTCCTCATGCCCGTCCCAGCTCGAGGCACGTCGACCCAGTGGTCCTCGCCCAAACGAACTTGCAGTCCTGGCCGACACGGCCAGAGTCGACGGTGGAAGCGTGGGACTGGTGGCACGTGGGGGTTCCGACGCCGGTCTCCCCCCAGATGGGAGCGGATGTGGATGAAAAGGCTGGTGGACCGGAAACATCAACATGTGAGAAGCTATTCTCCAACCTGAGGATCATGTCCGAACGATCCGAACATGTCTGAACCGTCCATTCCAAACCCGCATTGCGAAACCACAAAGCCCGTTGAAAACACCTGCAGGGTCTGATCCATGAAACCCCCGCCCTGTGTCCCCGCTTTTGGCCCGTCTCGCTCCTCCTGGGTTCTGCGGGTCCAGGTTGAGAATCGTGAGACCGAAGGAGTCCACGTGGGCTCCATATCTGAGAGGCCGAGGCGGTCGGTCTCCGCGACGGGGTCGTGGATGTTCTCCGTACGGGAATTCCTCTGTGTCTTGGATACGTCTCCACGTTGGGCCTGCCAAGGGGGGGGGAGGAACAGGGAGCCCGAGACAGAACAAAGGTTGGGCCGGGGGCCAATGGACGAGCTTCCACCCCCAATTCTGAGATGGTGCCTTCTATATAGTATTGGCTACTGCGTGTACTTAAGATATCTTTAAGATATGTTAAGCTACTACGAGTACTCGAGTCCAAGGTCCTAGATGATGTGACTCAAATCTGGGAAGCATTCCAGCACGGCCAATGGTATATATACTGCAATTAGCTGGATAAGGTCCAATTCAACACCGATGGGTCTGGTGGATCTGCATCCATTCACCGAACCATGGGTTGGAAGGCGCCTCATCTGCCCCTCCAAGGGTGGCTCCTGAGCGGAACAAGTACTTCAGCAAGACACCCAGCACCAGCAATAATGACGTGCGAACAAAGCTACCTACATGAAGATCAAAAACATGATAAAGGATAAAGACAACAGACTATTTCGCAGGCTGCACCAAAACATATCTTGGAAAGAAACCTACTACATCCTACAGTACTACAATGATTCCACCACCTTAAACCCAAAGAAACAAATTCAATGTACAGTATTCTTTTGTCTTGCCGTGCTCCCGACAATCTGCAAGATTCTGCAAGGTACACAATATAATTCCGTAATTATATATATATATAGATATCAGATCTTTCATTCCTGGCCCTGAAGCTGCTTCTTTCCTACTCACCTCTGCCCTGAAACAGGACAGAAACCTCGTGCCGCACGCCCGGACAGAAAGCTCCTGAAGTTCCGGGTAGAAGGCCAAGCGCAGGCTCTCCTTCCGACTCTGCCGCGCCTCGAAGAAGCCCAGCTCGAGGCCTCGCAGTGTGCCGAGGCCGATCTAGGCGTGGTCCAAGCAGGGCGATTCAGGGATACAAAGGATAGATGGTCTCAAGAACATCTTTGGGGGTGCACAACGTTCTATTTGGGTAAAGGTCAGAATTTGTGTGATTGATTTGTACGTAATGAGTCGTTATGAGTCGTGTTTCTGTACGATAGATTTCAACCTTTTCGACACTTGTCATCCAGCATGATAGGGTGGCTTCTTTCCAGGAAGGTTCCAGGAACTTGGAGCCTCCAAGTTTGACCTTTCTACGATCTGGAGACCTTCCGAATACCAATCATGGGCCAACGTGGAGAACGCATGGCCCCTTGAATAACCATATTCCGAATACCAACCAGGTGGCGGCATCCACGAAACCATTATTTGTGCAGGGAGTGGAAGAATGACCGGCCTACTCTTCGCGTGACGCGTGCATTGTCCATGACCAAGGGGACTTGCTTCTCCGCTCTTGCCAGGGGGTGGCCAATCTCTCCAGCGCGATGCAGCGCCCCTTGCACCCGGCCTAGGGCAAGTTCGCAGCTGCGTCCTAGTGCCTCCAGGAAACAGTGTGGACTGCTCAGGGTCAGGTCCTTCCCAATCACTGTACGGTGGATCATAGGAAACAAAGGTCTTGTGACCACAAGAGTCATCAACGGATGGTTGCAGTGAACCGGATCAACCC